AAAATGGACGCGATGAAAATGCAGTGCAATTACTTACAATAACATAGTATGTATTTATACAAAATGTTCAATCCTATTAATAAGTCGGTCTTAATGAAACATCAATGGAGAAATGGAAAGTGGAGGTATTGCAAATTATTATTATACAAATTGTAGTTATAGTAAACATTAACAGTTAAACACTGTTAGTGCAAATTCTTATATAAGTATTTATAATAATATGCATTACTCAAATTGTATAAATAAAGGCTGCGATGCAATATGTCATGATATACAATAATATAATCTATAATTGTATAATATAACAACGTGCAATAATATGCAAATATAACAATACAATCTAATAATACAAAATACTAATACTAATAAAAAATGTCTATGTATAAAAAAAATTCCAAAGTAATAAAAAATACGTATTTATGAAACATCAATTACAAACATAAAAATTGGAGGTAGATCAAATTAAGTAATAACAGATATCAATAACATTTGAAGTAGTGCAAATTATTACCGGTACTATAGTACACATTAAAAAACAATGTTAGTGCAATGTCTTATATAATTACTTTTAACAATATGCATTTCTTAAATTGTATAAATAAAGGCTGCGATGCAATATGTCATGATATACAATAATATAATCTATAATTGTATTGTAATATAACGACGTGCAATAATATGCAGCTGCAATGTCTTTCACTGTCTCACAGTGCTGGAGAAGGACAGCTGGTGGAGCATTTTCAAACTTTGGGTCGCGCAGACGGTCTTGCAGGGGTTTTGGGATCACAGCTGGCTGGACAGGAGCAGCATAGTTGTGAAAGTAGGGCTTCACTGTGGACATACAAACTGACCTATGGTTCTGAAGAACAGGGAACATTGACGATAAGTCGTCCAATGTGGCTTGGGCAGTGCGTCTGCTGGCCCGTGTCCGTAGGCCAGGCATGGGAATGTTGTCATCGATGACTCTGTCCAGAGCAATCCTCTGCGCTTTGGATGAAGTGAAGTCCATCTTGTGGGCGACTTCACCGCTGACTTTGTTGATACCTGCTGGTATTTTCCAATAAGCTGGCACATCTGTCACAGTCTTTTTCCCACGGATGCGGACTGCTGCCTCAATCATAAACAGCAGAGCCCCAACATGTGTACATGCCTCTGCAATTCCAGCCATGCATGTACAGTGTGCACAGCAAACCTGCCCATCGTCAGCAATGATGACCCATGGCTTCAGGGGAGTCTCATTAATGCGCTGAGAGTGCAAGACCTGAGGAGAAAAAAAATAGACATAAATTATGCAGGTAAGGACACCATTATATTTCATTCTATGCAGGAAAGCAAACGTTAACCTCAACCCCTCATGCATGTGTATACATATCATATAAATCACAGTTATACAACAGTAAAGTATAACAACCACGCTGTTATATTGTTATATCACTTAAAAGAAAAAGAAATGAAATGAGCACAGGACATTTAAACCTGCATAATACCTCTGACTGAATGATTTAAGCTCAAAGTTACCCGTTACAGTGTTTTATGAGGTCAGATTTAATAACCCGCAGTCAATACTGCACTCATTTTTCTAAATAGTTCACTTTGAAAGACTCTGATTCAAACTAGGAGTTAACTTGAATGGCCACAGCACTGCACTATTGTTTATTTTTTTATATTTTGCGGATCTTTGACTATTTAATCTGTTCCTTAAAATTTTATTAATAACAATGTTCAATAAATGATTTTCAACAAAATACAGATGTAACACCTATCCAGTTTCTGAATGATGGTAAAAAAATCTTGTTTCTACCAGCAGCTGGGGGAGACTAGATTAGAAATTTGGTTCAGAAAACCTGTCAGGACACATTTTTTTCTAACACTAAGTATCAAACAAATGCTGATTTCTATTTCAGCAAATTATTCTTAAAATTTTTTTTAATATTTTGAATAAATGTTTTGATGAAGATTTGAGATTCCTTTCACTGAATGAATGGTCACAAAGCTAGTGTTAAGCTTGAAGTCTCTGGCCAAGCTCACGTTTCAGGATCCTGTTCTCCTCCAGCAGCCGGTTGATTTCAGCACGCCGGCGCTGACAGAAGTCACATTCTGTCAGCGGTGTCTGCTCAGCTCCATCCTCAGCTGGTGCTGGTGTCTCCACTATGGATAAAATAAGGACATCTTTTAGCTAAATGTGCATCATGCAGCTGAAAAAGCCACAAAAGCAACATACGGTGTTGAATCTGCTGGCTCTGTAAGGCTTACCGGGCGGAACAAGGTCATCAATAGCTGTCTCATCCTCGCAGGTGTACTGTCAGTCCTTTGCCGTTTTCTCTTTTCCTGTCTCTCATAGCGTGCAGTCTGTGTGGCCTTTATCTCAGTGTGGCCCAAGTGTAGTGATGGTGCCCAATCCGGATGCGAGGTGTACATTTCATTTGCTGGTTTTCCTGGTGACACAATTTAAAATTATTATCCACAGCAGCAGTGTTGAACACATATAGAACCATAATGTTATCAATGATCCTCAATATACACATTATTATATTGTATTATATGATTACATTACATTACAAGACGGCTGGTAAGCGCTAGGATCAGCAAAATTTATAAGTGGTGCTATGACAGCTGTCAACCTCAGGGTTTTTTTTGAAAATGGAGAGGGATGTCCCTGTCCTTGTAGGAACTGGTAGTGTGTTCTACCAAAGAGGATAAAATGCTATATCAACCAACAAGGATGAAAATGCTATATCAACAGTCACTGGGCGCGCGTTCATGTGGTGCCACGGATGAAGGAAGGAAACACTGTAGGCTATAAAATAAAACCGTGCATCTTTAACTTACCAGAATGAAAATGCAGGGAACACACTCGCATTGACATCAGGATACTGTGGAAAGTTCTGTTCTGTCGTCTTACAGCCGCGATCCAAGCTAGCCGACGACTTTATGTTATCTGTGAAACTTGGTCTCCGTGTTTGCGTCTCCAGGCAGGACAGCGGTGGAAAGTTATCCCATTTTGTAGGTTTTTCCCTCGGCGATCATGTGATGCGCTGTTACAGCCCACAATACAGCAACGGTTTACCATGGTTGAAATCAAGTTACGGTGAAATTAAACGAAATAAAACACGGCTGAGAGGGAGAACACAGGCAATAGTCTAAGGAAGCCGTAAAGTGCGCCGTCAACATGGTCACGACGACCAAGCCCTATTGCGAGGGAACGCAAAAGTTTTTGCGAGGGAACGCAAAAGTTTTTGCGAGGGAACGCAAAAGTATTGCGAGGTAACGCAAAAGTATTGCGAGGGAACGCAAAAGTATTGCGAGGGAACGCAAAAGTTTTGCGAGGTAACGCAAAAGAAAAAAAATTCCCCATGTCCCCTAGGGGGCTCCGTACCCTCTCAGAGAGTATTTTTTTTATGTAAATGTTTTTGACTCAATAATAAAAAAATAAAAATAAAAAAAAGTATTCAGGTTTTATCCAAAAGTAAAAGAAGTAAAATATAAAATTATAAATAGTTATTATCCAACAGCAGAAACTCCTAAGAAAAGATTTGGATTTGAAGAAGACTTTTTTTTTTACTTTTAAAAACACTTTATTTACAAAATTCAAACATATAAACAATTGAAAAACAGTGATTGACTGAAAAGATTTGGCAACAAAATAGTCCAGGAAACCAACCATTTTAGTCCAGGCATCTTTTTAATCATTCTGTTGAAACATGGTTGGAAATTTATATCTGAATTTAATTTATTTATTTTTTTCATAGAATTCTTTATTATTTTTGTGAGACTGAAGTTATTTTTTTTATTATTATTTTTTCTTTCATCAAACGTAGGGGGGACAAGTATTTTTTTCCACCTACTTTGTAATTAATTTATGGAAATATTTATCTTTCATTTATTTTAAGATATATTTATGTGTTTGTTCATTTATTCATTCATGAATTTATTTCTAAATCTTTCCCTTTTTTATCTTTTATATTGTAAATCTAATATGATTTAATATTTTTTTATTGGCTAATTTGCAACACAAGTCATCTCAAGGCACTATACAGATAAAAATTTAGGATAGTATTACTGCTTAACCCCTTCTTTTTTTCAGGACTTTTTTATATCATCTTATGTTGTTATATTGAAATGCGGGGGCAGTTTTCTCATTAGGGCTGGTGCAGCTTATAGCTTTAACCACCATATAGATCATGTTTATCCATTCTAAATATTTAGTTTTCTGTAATATAAAAATACTGTTAGACATTTTGCACAAAGCTGATTTTTCCAGTTGAGTTTATCATCAATAATAAATCCAGAAAAATCTAATTTGATATCTCCAATTAAAGAGTTTTAGGATATAGGCTGCTCAGTGGCACAGTGTGTTGCACTGCTGCCTTGCATCAGGAAGGTTCTGGGTTCTATTCCCAGTTACTCCAGCTTCCTCCCACAGTCCAAAAACATGACTGTTAGGTTAATTGGCTAAATAAACTAAGTAAGTCTCTAAATTCTCCTTAGGTATAAATTATTATTTGTTTGTCTCTGTGATGGAGTGGTGACCTGTTCAGGGTGTACCCCGCCTCTCGCCCATAGACAGCTGGAGATAGGCACCAGCACCCCTCGCAACCCCCACTTGGGATTAAGCATGTTAGAAGATGGATAGTTTTAGGATTATAATATGATGGTTATGTACAGGAAGGTTGAGATCCTCAACAATAACCTGGTTTTGAACTGTAAACCCAGCTTTATCTTAATAACTTGTAAACAAAATCTTCTTGGTGCTAAAAGAAGCAAAAAATGCAACCAGCTTTATAAAAGATGAAAGTGGGATTTCCTCAAACACATAAAGTCGACTTATAGTTCCAGAAAATAATGAAGGATGTGGTTGTCAGGGTGCTAGACTGAGCTACAAACACGCACACAACAGTCAGAGAGAAATTTAAATATATATATATATTGAAATAATATAAAAAAATATTTTTTTATCATGTTTACAAAGGCCCAGTGGATCCATGAGGGATGGGGCTCAGTCACAGGATGGATCCCTGAGGGACGGGGCTCAGTGACAGGAGGGTTTGAGGGACGGGCCTCAGTGGCAGGAGCCAGGAATGAAAACGGAGATCCTCCAGGGAGGGTCGTCTCCTACTGTCCTCCTCCAAACACTGGTGCAGAAAAGCCAGGCACTCTGGAAAGAGAAGCCAAGGGTTAATGGTCAGAAGCACAGGCGGGCGGTAACTAGCAAGGCACTTGCTGGTTATGTTCCTATACCTTTCGAAAGTTTTCTGTTGAACTTAATGAGGCCCTGTGTGAAAAGTTTGGTGTCAAAGTGATGCCTGTTCAGCATTTGATACAGGATGACGCCCAGCTGCCAAACCGTGGTCGGAGAAGGTCTGTATTTTCTACAGCTGAACCACTCTGGGGGGGCGAATACAAGAGTACCTGGAATACAGGCATAGTCAGAGCAGACTGTTATGCTTTGTTCGTCCATTTGCTTTCTAAAGGAAATGACTCAAAGAGGATCTCAGTTAATGTTTAATAAAGAAGAAACCCACCACTAAAACGTTTGTAGACTTTCTTCATCTGGAAGCTTCCACAGCCGAAGTCAATAATTCGGATGCGAGGCTCCGGCCCCATTTCCACCAGTGTGTTTTCACACTTCAGGTCTCTATGGAAAATCTCCTTATTTTGGAGGTCTATGGCAGCGTCCACTATCTGTTTCATAAGAATCTGGAATAAATCAATGAAAAACGTGTCTTTATCATTAAAGATCTCATCTTCAGTTGTTGAGATTAAATAAAACTTTAACAAATTTATTCTCTCCTTAAAGATTTCTTTGGTTTTTATTTATTTATTAATTTTTTTACACATTAATGATTCAGATCATTAAGCAAAATGTATTATTAGAAAAAGATAAACTGAGTTATAAACAAAATGCATTTTCCATTGATCAGAGACAGAGAGAGAAGGTATCTAAACCCAGATGGATTATTTTCCCCTGAACCTAAAGACTGATGGTTGATTCTCTGTTTGTGGCGACAGCTGACATCAAGCCTTCATGATAAGAGGCGTTAATCTTTTGTATCGGCGCACAGGAATTTTATGGAGGGGATGTTGTTCCATTATTGTTGTAAGAAAAACAGATTTTTGCTAATTGAAATTGGGAGAAAAAAAAGCAATGCAGGGATGAAACTGAAAAACGTTTTAAGAAAAGGTTTTGAGGAAAAAACTAAGTTGTTTTCTTATATTCTTGTATTTGTTTTTTTTTTTTTCAAAGTTATATTTCAGATGTAATTTTTTTTAAATGTTTTATTTCAATTTTTTAAGATTTTGTGTTACTTAAGGGACGCATTATACAGGTCCGACTGTAATGAGCCCTGGGTAAGAAAATTAAAGGTGAAGTCCAAAAAATAGACTTAATAACAATACATTCTTTCACTCAGTATTAATACAATTATTGTCATTTTGGAAAATGCCTTTTGTATTTAATCAGGTTTCCTTTGTTTGATTGTACAATTTATTTCCTAATCTAAAAGGTTTGCAGAATAAAATAAAAACTGAATCTTCAAGTCAAACTAGGAAAGAAGTTTCCATCACATTTCCTCACTGTTAAGAACTCATTTAGTTATTATTAGTGGCTCCTTTTTATTATGTTACACATTTATTTAAGAAATGATGGTTTAACAAAGATAAAAGTTGTTGCTGCAGCTGTTAAATAGAAAATGCAGAAAAGCTCTTAGTCTGCCAGCGAATGCAGACGTAGCAAAAACATCCAACATCCAGCCTCCCTACCCTAGCCACGTCTTCCTCCAGGCGACCTCCTCTGCAGGACACGTATTCCAGAAGATTCATGGATGCTGGGGGCCTTTCCATCACAATGAGCAGGTCCTGATCCATAAGGTACCAGTCCAGGAGGGTGACGGCAGCAAACACCCCCACTGCGTTTGGCTCACCTCCGGCCTTCTGCATGAGAGCCACCTCCAGGGGAACACCGTCCATCTTAAAAAAACCCACAATGACCTGATTGTGTAACTAACAGCAAAGGACAAATACTGTCTACTAACATGACTGGGAGGCCGGCTGCTTCTAAACCAGTTCACTCACTTCACTCTGTCTGATGTGACCTGTCCTCATGTCCATTTACTTGATGGCCACCTGTTGGACACAAGCACAAGTGTTATCCTTTCTGCAGACATCGGCAGTGATGCTTTCAGGCTGTCTGCTTAGATTTGAGTCAAAGACAGACAGAAGGCCAAGAACACAATATAATACCAACCGGTAATGAATCCTCCAGGCGAAGGCCAGCGTAGACGGACCCGAAGCCCCCTCTGCCAATCAGTCCAAGCTGCTTATATTTTCTCTCAAACTCAGCTAAGAGTGAACAGAGAAATCACCTGATTATAATAAAGCTGTGAATACTGTCAGATTATTGATGTTAATTATGAACAACAGCAATCAGAGATGCAGACATCATGTCTGTTGCTTTCAATGAACCTCCAAACTCTTTGTTTCTGTTTGGGTTTTTCAAGGATCAGAAAATGTCTGCAGTTCCTTCTGTTTACATTCCTGTCAGGGGTTAAAATATTTTCCTTTTATATTTTTAGGATGGATAAAATTATTGTTGTGATTTCTTCAAATTTTAGTAAGCTAAACCTTCTTAAAAAATAAGACTAATATCTATGCTGACGACCTGATTGAATTAGAAATACTTTCATAAATATTGAAAAATTTTCAAGTTCTTAAACTGAGTTGAATTTAACTTTGACCATTTGAACCATTTGTGCAGGAACTCTGTTATTTTAACCTGATTATAGCAGCAATTATTCTCTGATAGTGAGCATTAGAAATGTCCAGAGGCTGTCAATGATTCAGAATCAACTTCTTTATTCATATGAAGATCATTTTCCCATAAATGGTTCATTAATACTGGATCAAGCGAAACTTTTCCCTCTTCTGGAACTTTTCACCTTCATTTACTCTCTAATCACCAACCAATGAGTTTTCCAGCTTCCCTGTGCCTGCTAAAGAGGAACAGTCCCACAGCATGACACTGCCACCATCCTGCTTTACACTGCGAATGGTTGATTAAGGGGGTTATTACTGTTAGCTCTAGCTTTGCTATTAAAAGCTGTCTGGCTTTGAATTACACCTTTAAACATAGAAGTTATAACATTTCCTCTCTTAACACTAAAACTGAGAAGGAGTAAAATAGCTTGTCTTTACCCTAAGCAGAAAAAGGAAGGATGTTTGTGTTCCCACTTCAGGAGTTGCTGAGGTGCATTTATTTCAGTGTTGGGCTCACATTTGTCAGAAACTGAGCTGCTGGTGCCTTGCTCTGGCTCAGAGACTCTCTGCCTCTTCTTAGAGGACTCTTCAGGGACATCGGCCTTCCTCTTCCTCTCCCTAATGGGTTCCAGCTCTTCCTCTGGCTCCCTGAGGCTGATACTGGGGCTGCTTATCTCTATTATGCTGGCTGGTGCCTGTCCACTAGAATTGCTCTTTCCCTTTTCACAATCAGAATCAGAAATACTTTAATAATCCCAGAGGGAAATTACTTTTGTTACACGCTCCACTTACAGTTTTATATATATATATACACACATCAAACAACACAAATAAAGATATATATATATATGTATTTTGGTACTTTTGGTATTTATTTTGGTACCTTTTGGTACTCTCTCACAAACTCTACGGACACAGACTGATCTTGTCCAGCGGTGAGGTGGCTGAAGTTGTTGCAACTCTGTTTGCATAACTTCTTGTTGTCCAAGTCTGTGACAGCCTCCGCCTTTCTCTTCCTGCAGCTTGGTTCATCCAGACGGCTGCTGGGTCCAACAGAGACGCTCTGGTTATCTGAAAGAGTTAATTGGACACATGTTTACACTCTATAGCAGATCTATTTAGGAAGCAATGGAAGAGGATGCAGACTGAGAGAAATCTAAAACCCCTCTTTTTAGTTATAAAACATGAACCACCAAATACTTTGACAAGAAAAAATGACACTTTCCCATGAATCCACTGATCCTGCATCACCAAAGATTTGATAGAATAAAAGCTTTGCACCAAGGAATTAGGTTTTTGCAATTTTTGGAGGAAAAATAATCAAAATAAATAATAACATTTTTACTTAAAGGTAACTACAAACCTTTAATTTTCAACTGATTTAATGTTTTTCCATTAAATGTAGTTAAACAAGTTTTTTGGATTTTACAATTTAATGAACGTTCATCAAATAACAGGATCATCAATGTGTTACTCAAACACGTCTAATGTTAGTATATTAATATAACACCTCTGCAACGTTTGGTTCCCTAAAATTTAACTCTGAATTTGAATTCCTATTTCTTTTTCATATATCTTAAACATCACCTTGTTTTCCAGAGACAAGAGCAGGGGTCTCCATGTTGCTGAACGAGTTTAAAGGCCTCAGATTTAAAAAACTCAAATTACGGTGAGACTTTCTGGGGATTTATACCAACGATATCGATCTAGAAGTGATCTGCACTCAGGTACAATGAAGTTCTTGCAGTAAAACCACAGAATATTTGTGTTTTAAAAAAACATCGTCATGGTGCCCAGCTGTTCCATCCTAAAAATGTTGACATTTGAGAATTTGGCAGTTATCCCAGCTGTGAAAAAAATAAATCATAAAAAAATCGGAGAAAACAGAAAAGTTACTCTCAAAACTTTTTCTAAATTAGCTTTTTAAAGTTTTATTCTTGGTTTGCATTTCTTTTTGATGTTTTTTAGCATTCCCATTTATGAAAGAGTTAATTGGACAAATGTTTACACTCTATAGCAGATCTATTTAGGAAGCACTAAAAGAGGATGCAGACGGAGAGAAATCTAAAACCCTCTTTTTAGTTATAAAACATCATCCACCAAATACTTTGACAAGAAAAAATGACACTTTCTCATGAATCCACTGATCCTGCATCAGCAAAGATTCGATAGAATAAAAACTTGGCAGCAAGGAATTAGGTTTTTGCAATTTCTGGAGGAAAAATGCATAATTATCATACTTTTTACATAAAAGGTAACTGCAAACCTTTTATTGTCAAACCATGTCATGTTTTTCCAGTAAATGTAGCATAACAATCTTTTGGGATTTTATAATTTAATGAACATTCATCAAATCACAAGAGGAAATGAACTGATTGTGTTTCTCAAACACATCTAATCTTAGTACATTAAAGGTACAGTGGTGGATTTTTGCATATTTTTAAAAAGACCTGCCCTCTGCACTTAAAAAAAAAATGCACATGCACAACCCTGAACTCAAAGGGGAACAACTATTAAACACATGCGAGAGCGTGCACGAGCCCATTTCTCCTCGCGCACGCCCTGTTTAAAAGTTTGCATCCCTCATACAAGCTCACTTTCCAAAAGAAGATTTGCAATTTTTCCACTATGTTAGACTGAAAATAATTGGAAATGGGTTCCAGCACGCAAGATGGCCCAACTTAAACATATCACCAGAATGATCAACAATTAGGAGGACCACTAACTTTGATGATCCACCTTGAAAAAGAAAATCCTCCACTATACCTTTAATATAAGGTAACATTTCTGCAACATTTGGTTCCCTAAAATTTAACTCTGAATTTGCATTCCTGGTTCTTTTTTATATACTTTAAACATCACCTTGTTTTCCAGCGACAAGAGCAGGGGTCTCCATGTTGCTGAACGTGTTTAAAGTCCTCAGTTGTCAAAAAAACTCAAATCACGGTGAGATTTTCTGAAGATTTATACCAACGATATCGATCTAGATGCGATCTGCACTCAGGTACAATGAAGTTCTGGCAGTCAAACCACAACATATTTCTGTTTAAAAAAAACCATCGTCATGGTGCCCAGCTGTCCATCCTAAAAATGTTGACATTTGAGAATTTTGCAGTTATCCCAGCTGTGATTCCAGGTAGCTGCCAAATTCTCAAAGCTGTATTATTGGGCTTGAAGTGAAATGAATGGGGTCTGTGACATGTGATTAGAGAAGAATGCAATTGATTCAAGTATAGCTGAAAAGGACAAATGTTAAAATTTGAAATCTGTTTAAAAAAAAATTAGAAAAAATGGGTGAAATATAAATTTTGAAAAAATAAATCATAAAAAAATCGGAGAAAACAGCAAAGTTACTCTCAAAACTTTTGCTAAATTAGCTTTTTAAAGTTTTTTTCTTGCTTTGCATTTCTTTTTTATATTTTTTAGCATTCCCATTTATGAAAGAGTTAATTGGACAAATGTTTACACTCTATAGCCGATCTATTTAGGAAGCACTAAAAGAGGATACAGACTGAGAGAAATCCATAACCCTCTTTTTAGTTATAAAACATGAACCACCAAATATGCAGGATCCACTGATCCTGCATCACCAAAGATTCGATAGAATAAAAACTTGGCAGCAAGGAATTAGGTTTTTGCATTTTCTGGGGGAAAAATGCATAATTATCATATTTTTTACATACAAGGTAACTGCAAACCTTTTATTGTCAAACCATGTCATGTTTTTCCAGTAAATGTAGCATAACAATCTTTTGAGATTTTATAATTTAATGAACATTCATCAAATCACAAGAGGAAATGAACTGATTGTGTTTCTCAAACACATCTAATCTTAGTACATTAAAGGTATAGCGGTGGATTTTTGCATATTTTTAAAAAAGACCTGCCCTCTGCACTTAAAAAAAAAATGAACATGCACAACCCTGAACTCAAAGGGGAACAACTATTAAACACATGCGAGAGCGTGCACGAGCCCATTTCTCCCCGCGCACGCTCAGTTTAAAAGTTTGCATCCCTCATACAAGCTCACTGTATGAGGGTGGAGGGTAAAATAGGTGGTGGGTGTGTAACCCTACTGACATATTTTTGCTTTGTTGTTGTTTTTTAGCCTGCCAAGTCAAAAAAAATGTGTCTGATTCACGCCGGACAAAAATCACGCCATCTGGCGGAAAATCGCGCGGCTTTTTGAAATCACGCAAGAATGTGTAAAAAGA